AATTAGACTCAAAAAAATAATTTAAAATTTCAAACTAGTGTTTGTTTAAATGAAAGTGATGTGAAGTATTACGGTTCGTGATATCTTTAACTTGTGATAATTTCATTTTCATGAGTGAAAGATCTTCATTCTAAGTATTTCAATGATTCTTAATCTTGATATTAAATAGCTTGTAAAAACTTCTTGTTACTATTTATGTTTTGAGTTTAGATACTTAGTCTTCTAAAATTTGTATCATCTTAGCGAGGATACAAATATGTGAATTCTGTTGGATGGATATGAATGAGTAAAACTTTACGTTTGAGTTGTCAATAATGTAAAAAATTTCTTTCATCTTGTTGAATCACATTTTTATCTTAATGCGCATCATTTTAATACTATGTATTTTAAACTTGACTTTAGTTCAAACTTATATTCATCTCTGTAAGTGTTTTCAAAAAATCATAGTAGTGAATATGTAATTCTTGTCATTACTATTATGTACATGAAACACTCATAATCCTATCTTACAAACCTTATTTTGTGTTGCAAAGAGTTTTTGTTAACTATGTCGTATTATAGTAACTAGTCTAGTCTAAAAATCTATTATTAAAATAACTTTAGTAAATTACTGACTTCAGTTACAACTCCCAAATTCTTGTTATTTACCAACACTCTGAATTTTACATTTGAAATATTCTTAGTGGAACCACAACATCACAATCGTCCACACTTTGACAACATGGGAACAAAGCTTTCAATTACAAAATGATGATAAATATGATCAATTTTTTGTACATATCCTTCGACAGCTTTATGTGAAATTATTTCAAATCACAATTAAACAAACATGGTAATACATGGAAATAACAATTTTGCAAAATGATGATTTGATTGACCTGTTACTGCCTATGTTAGCTCCATGCGCCAAGTTAATAAACCAGCTGTGCAAACTTCTCATATGTTTTTAAGCAACTGATTGTGACCTTGCTTGTAACCCAATCTACCTTCATGTCATACCAATAATGAGCTAATCTACGAAATATTTGAATATTGAAATCAAATTGCAAGCACAATTTAAAAATGCTAAAAATTGTAATAATTTCTTCCTTGTCATCAACTCATTGCATCATTGATGTGAAAATATCTTACAACCGAAAAGATTTAAACACGCACGCTCAAGATGCTTCAACAAAGTAATTGCACCTGCATTTCGAAAGCAACAAACAACTTTTTGAACATGCAACAGCCTTTAGACTTTTAGACTTACAGAGCAAGTGCGAACCTCTCCGTGACCAGGTACTGCCCAGTGTGCTGTGAATCGTTTAGCCGATCAGGTGCAGCATCCATGGAAGGTCTGGCTGCTGCCATGGATGCACTTCGAGCTCCATGCATGGCTCCAAACTTGACAAACCAATCGTCAAATCAGTTCCTGCATACTCACCTCTCTAAAGAGCAAGATTAAATTCAGCCGCCATGGCATGGCGCCAATTACAAGTGATGCAGAAACTACTTTACAGAAACTGTAACACCAAGAGAAAGACAACCATAATGAGGTTTAAAAACTTCGTCTGTTTACGGGAATACTAAATTGTAGGTTATTATGGGTGCTGCTCTGAACTCGGTTACGATGGTCATGGAAGACAATGCGCTTGCATCTGGAGGAATCTCATACGGAGCAGCGGTGTCTGTCGGCCATTGGGTGAGTCAGGTCAACTTGTTGGTGTCAGGAAAGCGCTAAAGAGCAGAGAAAAGAGACGCATGGACATGGCTAACATGAGCGAAACAGGTGCGGGAAGACCCCAGAGACATCATCTTGACCAGATGGTGGTGGCAGTCGGAGGATTGTGTCCCGCAGATGCAATCTTGGCGGCGTGCAGGTGTGGGGCTCAATCCTGGCTTGTGCCGGCTGGGGGATTTGGGGCTCCCAACATGTGGGAGATTTTTATACAGCGGATGGAGGCTCTGCTTTATCTGCATATGATAACGATGGGGATGGGCACGGTAGGAAGAATCTCTGGCTGCATCTGTGGGAGGAATGGCACGATAGATGCCAAAGCCGAAAGTCACTTTGGCCAGTCCCAGCTGGTGTGAGATTAAGGCGCTATCTGGCGTACCGAGCAGTGCCTGGAGCAAATTGACAGCAGAAATATCTTGCAATCAAAAGCCATGTCAAATGTCTTTCCAGCAGATCCAATACCCATTGATGCCAAAGATGCGATCGTGACCCTCGAACACATGTCTTCGATGGAAGACCGGGATTGCCTACGACCAGTGGCCGGACCTCGCAGGGCATTATTGCAAGGTCCTCGGTCTAGCTACGGAAACTCGTTTACGAGTTTCCGCAAGCGAGGATTGTCCTAAACCTCGCGATCGATCCGCCGAAGGTAATACAGGGACAACTATGGGAGGAGCCCATCAAGTCCTAGACGGATGAAAACAAAGGGGTAAGATTGGGCTAGATCCCAATCCGAGAGGACATAGATCTTGGCCATGATAGTTAGGAATGTCGTAAAGTCCTGAACTCAGGATTCTTAAGCCTGCTCATGTCTGACTGACCTTGGTCCTTAAGCTCTCAACTATATCCATGTGCCTACGGATCGACCACTGACTGCATCGGCCAGATTCACCTTCCTTCTCACCTTGCTCTGCACTCATTGCTGCATCCTGGGCCCTGACAACAGATCTTAAACAGTAGTTCGGTCACTGATTGCCAGAAGCTCAGCAGCCCTACTTTTGAGTACAAACGATCAAATCATCGACAGTCTAGGTCCTCGGGACTTTTATGACTAAGCATTTCAACGGATGATGAGTTCCGCGAACTTTGTATTCTATTGATGGTCAGCTCACTTATGAAGGTCCAGAAGATATCCATCTTCTGGACTGTGCTGCATTACGTAAAGCAGCCAAGGTGAGATTTCACACGGAAAAGAAACATGAATGCCGCAGACATTAGCTGCAATGAGGTGAACGCTGGGAGACCGTTCATGGACACGAGATCGACTTTGGGCTGCGGTGTGCACGTCTGCAAAAATCATCCGTCTTTATTGTCATGAGTCTAAAGCCGACATGGGAATGATCATGGTGAGGTTGGAATGGACGAAGTCTCCGTCTTACTTTGGGAGGACGCTTCACAGTGCGTAGCTAAGGAATTCTTTCAACTGACAAAGTGGGGAACATTCTACGGATGATCCTACACGCTGACCTGAACGCATCAGTGTAGGAGTAACCAATCTCGTGCTTTGAAGCTACTGGAGCGACCAGATCACCGATGACAATCATCGAGTTCCTCTATCGTGCGTGCCAACTCTCCAACGAGACCAGCCGACCCTGCTCATTATGGAACAGAGAAAAGGAAAGGATGAAATGTGCCCCAGCTGCCTTCACATCGATGTCGGCGAAGTGTAAAGCGAGATCGATCGTGAAGGCAGGACAGACCATTCCTTTGCTCTCATGCTCTTGCCACTTACGGTCATGTTTTTACCCCGGACGCATTTCCAACATTTTCACCTGTTTATGGAGCCCTACCTAATGTGAAGATCATGATTAAAACGTGGGCATTATCACCTTCCAGATTCAAAATGTTATGCTCTGCATAATCGAGAACCAGGTTCGCATATGAACCAGTTAGAAAGCTGACTTTCTGAGAATAAAAAGGTATGCGTAAATGAACAGGTGGACCAAGTGTACAATTATTCTGATCCGCAGTCTAGGGACATACCTTCAGAGACATTGATCTCAGTCCTTCGGTAGGACACCGACCGGCCATGTCTTGCTGTTCCGGATCTATCTACAGTGGAGGTGGGATTTTATTCACTTTAACACGCACTGCTGCTTGACTTGAACGAAAATTTCTGCACAATTTGCTTTTCTCCACGAAGGGGTATACTCTCCGGTGGGTCCACCGACAGCAAGGGCTAGTTCTCTCCAACTTGAAATCAGACGAACCTTTTACAAGATTTCTAGATCACGATGTCTTCACATGTCCTATCCTCTCTTAGATCTCTGTGTACACAAATGTAAAGCTAGTACGAGGATCAGACTGTCAAGTTTTTCACATGTGCCTTCATTCCCGTTACTCTTGTGCCGTTTGATTGCTGAGTGATGAAGATTTGGTAGGAGCCTCGCCTTGTCCGTAGAAACTTTACCTTCTTCCCATTGTCAGTAGACGCGGTCAGCTCCACTAAATCCATTATTTGAGTAATTTGTCGTTCCTGTCTGTACCCCACAGGCACAGCTACACTTCCCAGGTCAAGGGATCTTTGGCTGCAAGGCTACATCATCATGCAGCACGTATTCTGAGTTACTTATCATTGATTTCATGAGCGGGGTGTTTGATGATTGACGACTCTCAAAAGTCTTCCCACTCTTTAACTACACGTTTCTTCATCGAACACATCGCTGTCCCAGTACAGACATGACAATCATGTGAGAATCCTCATCCAGACTCCTCGAATATGTCTGAAGCATACTAACTTTCAGAAACAATAGTAGCTTCTTCGTTATTCGTGTCAAATCTGATAAGTGCACTCTAGATGTATGGTAAGAAACAATTGTTTTACTTTGCGTAACGTTCGACACAGACTGACGAAGGATTTGGCAATGGAAACAGAGAAACGAGCACTCCAGTTTATCTTATGTATCAGAATTACGTTCATTGTGATAGGTTCATTTCTGAGAGCACTAGCTCGATCAGATTCTAACGGTGGTGCACGCAGTATGGAGTCAAGCCCAGTCCAAGAATTCGTTTAAGCAGTTCGTGTCTCTTGCAAACTTCGAGGAACTATCGTAATGGTTTAAGTCCAGTATAGTTGTAATATGTATGGCACCGTACGGTTTCAACTCAGGAAAATCTCTCGCTTCGTCAGTATTTTCAGATGTCGAATCATTCAAATGTTTCCGAAAGAAGCAAGAAGCCTATGCAGTAACTACCATACAATCTAAAGAAACTTCCGCAGACTTTTCCTTCGTCAGAAAGTCGATCATGGCATTGGAACAAATACTACAACAGTATAAGATTGGGCAGGGAACTAAGAAAAAAGATTGGAAAATATATTATAACTCCGAATATGTCTGAATTACTAAGATGCACCCAAGTTTGACATACAGAACATGTCCTATGTCCGAGTTCATGTCATCCCGTAAAGAGAGTTTCACGTCAAACATGGAACAGCACTCCTACATTCGACATCATGTTATGTAGACTTTTGACAAAATGGTCTCGTCTTTTCAACGTTCGACCGACAAAGCATTTACCATACTATAGTAGTTCTGCAAAAGATTTACGCAACTTAATTGCTACATGTGTCTTGATAAATACCTCACATGTCACTGCAATATCAGAATAGCACCACTTGCAGAACCTTACGTAACCAGTGCAGACGGTCCCAAGGCTGTGATTATGCCTCAGGAAACTGCTAGATATTGACGTAAATACCCATTGAGTTCTCTGCCTGCACAACCATTTGCCTCGGCTAATAGACAAGGCTTGAGGAAGGCTGAGTCCACCGATGCTTATGTTCGACTTTCTCCAGTGCATCTATCAGCTCTCAGATGCCTGAACAACTCCATTCCTTTAGGTACTGATTGCACCAATGTCTCTTCAGACTCCATCCTAGGTTGCATTTCGAAATCTTCCCTACCCCAACACGTGGTTTTGAGCTTCTTGACCAGCATATGTTCCATCATCGGCTTGGCGCGCTTCATGGAACTTGCGAACCCATCATCAAGTAACCTTGTGAAGGGTGTTGTACCATGACTAACGATATCTGGCGATGATCTGGCTTTAAGCTCCGAAATCACGTGTGCAGCATGGAGAAGAATGTTCGCTGCGTGGCCAGCGAGCATTACATTGTCGATATCACCGACGACATCGGCCAATGCATGAAAAACATCCTCGAAGCGAGGGAAACTCACAACACAAGCTCCTGAATCCTCCCTTCTCTGAATATCCTCATCATCAACTCTGGTCTCAACCACTAGACCGTTGTCGTCTTGATCATCATCTTCGAGATCCAGATCACAAGGTGTTGAATTGGAGGTAGACGTAGGTAGCGACACGTGTTCCTTGACCGGTTTGTCATGATCCAAGAACAAACAGTTCAGCACACCCTGCTGTGCACCTATTCTTGAGCCATAGGTCTGCACAGCTCTACCTCCAATAACGCCCTTCATAATCAAAAGTTTCACCTGCATGTACCCAAATTCAAATAAGATACGGAACGAAGATCCAACTAAAAATGAAGGCAAAGGATTCAAGCTCGGCACAGGAGGAATTCGTAAATCCTACCTGATGTTTGCACATGTTCCCACGTCGAGCCCACTCACAGTCGCAACATGCCCACTCAGTATCCGGATTATACACAGTATAACGGACGCTGGGGTCTTTGGTGCTAATGACTGTAGCAGCAACTTTCTCATGCTCGAGAGGAACTGATACATTTGAATCAGGTATGCTAGCCGCTTGCAAGACGGTTGACTCCGAGGTTATGTCCTCAGCCGTGGATAAACCCCAACGCTTACTGAAGTCCATGAACCAAAAGTGCGAGTCGACATCTTTCACAAGTTTGTGAATGAACCAATCGATCCGTCTCCCTTCAAGAGTTTTTACCTCTTGACGAAGCCGGGCCTTAAAATTCCAATGGTATGTTTCAATGGCACAATTTATATCCTGGTTCGTATGAGCCAGATTCTGTGCCGCCTTTATCCACACACCTGTATACGTGAAATACCAGACAAAATGAACACTGGTGGCAACTTCTTTATGAAGACAAATTCTTGATTGACGATGAATTCATCAATTCCATGCTTTTGCCTACGAGATGTAACCAACAAGATAAAAGCCCACAAGAACTGTACGCATGAAGTATGCCGACAAGTTACAGTAAGAGGAGAGAGGAGGGTAACTAGCAAAGCTCAAACCCGGGCATTCAAGAATACTAGACACTAGGCCAACATGCGGAAACTGCTGCAATTCTTCTTGTAAGCATGCAGGTTGTCAAAAGATTACTCAAGGTTTAAACTGTGCTTCATTTCACTACAGCGCCTTACTTAAAAGGTCTTTACACTCTACAAATCCATAGATCGCAAAAAAGTAAAGAGTTTTGATGATACCTATTTTCGGAAGCCAGGTTTCTTGAAAGTACGAGATGAATTCAGTCTCTTGACTGAAGAACTCCATAAACATATCCACCTGCTTCAGAGCATGCGTCTCCATGTTGCATAAAGATAAGGATTGCGCATTACTCAGGTACATAATCTCACCAAGCTTTCGAAACATCAACGCTCTTGCGTTCCAAGCTCTTACTTTCTTGAAAAGATTCTTGGACCAACATCTCCGCAGGTACCACAGAGATAGAAACACTGGAACATCAAACACGTTCCTGCGTAAAACCAGGAACCAATTAAGGATGATAAGTTCCAGGGTCTACTCTTGGCGTGTGTTACAGAAGATCGATAAGTCTACGGACAATTGAAAACAGCAGTACAAGCAACTACCTTATTGAATTCACGTCTGAGGTAGGTTCATCTATGACAAAACAGCTCGGTCTCCACCCCACAAGTTTCTCATTCATCTTCTCCTTTAGACACCGCAACCAAATCTCTATGTCCACAGCCTTCGAGCTTGAAGTCATTATCCACGCTACAGGGATTGCATGCTGATGGGCATCAAACACCAAAAGTGTGTAGAACGAGAACTGCGTACACGACAAAACAATATTGCAAGAGTTGGCAATTGGCTGAAAGTGGAGGTAACAAATGGGAGAATAATCCAATTCGCCGACATATGACAGAAAAGTCTGTAATGTAAAAATCACTTACTGCGAACTTGTCCGTCCCATAAGTGGCATCACAAGCCACAACGTTCTGGTGCCCCAAAGTTATCATTTTCTCCTCTTGCCACGGAGTCTGGATGGCCAGGATAAATGATAAGTTGCTGCTAGAGTTTTCCTCCTGATAAAACAAAACCAGCTCGGGATGACGCTGGATCCACGTCTGAACCCCTTCCGCTTCAGACACATCATGTTGAAAAGTATCTTCTGCCAAGCGTTTGGAGATATTAAGAACATCATGTTTATTAAGAAAATCATCTCTGACAGGAACATGGTCCTTATTCTTAGACTGCCTTTCCTGTATGACCAATTTGTGCTCCTGAAGAATTTGTTTCGGTGACACATTTTTGTACAGCTGATGCAGAACCCATCTTCTCATATCTGTCGACAGCTTCGGCGCAAATTGAGCTCGAGATCCAATGGCACTGGGGTCCAGTGTTCCATGACAAATGCAACCGGAGATGTCTGTATGAGATCGGTGTACGTAATGTATTTGAGTAATATCCGGCCACAAATACATGATCTTCACGTTGAAGTGACACAAACATCCTCGAGCAGAGTCCTCTCCTCTTGCACATGCTGACCGACGTCGCTTACGTTCTTGGCCATCAGGAGATACTGATACTTTGCTCTGGACTTGAGACTTCTTGCTTCGATTGTCATGTGGTCCGTAGGTACACCAATACCTGAGTAGATGAAGAAACGCTTGAATAAGGAAAAGATACGAGCTGAAAGCTGTGGCGTGACAAACGGGACGTAAACGTTTTGCATAGCGTTGACTACACCGCCCTAATATGGCACATGAGCTGAGAGCCAGAGAACACATAACTCGTGCGTGTTCTAAGAGCCTCGAGGCCATGCGAACATCGCAACCCGACAATGAAAAGAATATGTCCCATTGAGAACAATCAACGAAGAAGGATATTTCTTGGTCTCCTCAACTACCAACGCGTTCAGAAGTCAGCTAGGTACACGGCTTCTATTTAGTCACATAGAGCAAAGAAATCGAGAAGTATCGTTCAGTCGAGCAAGAATCAAACTGAGGGACATGTTGAAGGAATCTCACCTTGTGTACTTTAGCCAACATTGCGACCGAATTCGGTGGATCGGCAAAGAGCCGGGTTTCCGGGTCCGCGAACTCCTGATTTTGAACTTTGTCGGAGCAGTTCCAGAACCTAACTCCTCTCCAGTGATAAACTGTAAGATTCGGTTGCTTGGAATGTAGGCGACGTCGTCTTTCCATTGGAGATCCGCGGCGCTAAATATATCTTTTTCAGGACTTTGGATGAGAAACATAGACATTTTCAGGATCTGAAGACTCCCCTTCTATCATCAACTCTTTATGAGAAGGATACCGACTCATCTGTCTACATTTTCACTTGATTTCAACCATCCGTAATGAAATTGCTCAACTGCTCAGGGACTTAGTATGAGATGAGAGCTGACGAAATCAGCGACTGCTCTACGGTGGTAGTTTGGTTTCAGTTAAGCTACCCTTACCAGCATAATAAGCGAGGAAAGCAACTTCTCGTCGGTCAGGGCAGGAGCAATCTAGATGAAAGTATTACGTGAATAGGACGGGAGCAAAAAGGACTCGAGGAGGAAGAAAGTGTTTGTAAATCTGTATGGCTCAGGAGACAAGGTAAGCTTAAAAGGCTGGCCTTCACATAAATCACTGCGGAGCAAACACCAGGAAAAGAAGTAGAAGAGAAATGCTACCCTTTCTCGGCCAGGTGTACCAGAGACACCTGTATCAAGGACGAGAGCAAGACAAAAAGAACGCATGTCAGGTAATTAGACGATAGGTAGGGGTCATCCTTGTGAGTCAAAAGTCGAGAAACAGAAGACCTATGAACAACACGGGCAATCGAAGCTCAATAACAACAACAAGCTCCAATTTGATACACAGCAGTATTGTACTAACGGAAAAAGTTGATCTTTCAAACACCTACTTCTCAAATTGTGGGCCACCGAGGCCATAAAACATACAAACCCAGCCATTAAACTGCCTTCCTGGAGAACAAGAAACTGAGAGAGTTCATCTGGTGGTTTGTCAGGGTGCAGTTACAAGTACAAACCCTTCGATTTCTCAATCTTAGCGAACGTAAAGCGAGTCATTCTGAGAAGTTCGTTCTCCCGTATTCAGGAAAACGTTTGTGCGAGACCGGAAGTAGCTGACGGCGAGGAAATAGCTCAAGCAGCTTCCAGTTGCTTTGAGATGAAGGTATCAACCTCAGAATCCATTCTTCAACATAAGTTAAACCAGTTCACTTGTTTGATGTATTTTCCTGAGGGTATTCAAAAACCCATGAAAAATGAATGGCAGAAATTTCACAATACCACCAACTGCTGAGCGGGATAGAACTCCTGTCCTTTCCCTTCATCAATTTATGAGGAAGAAATTCGTGCTCTTCTCGGTATTGGATAGTGCCTTCCAGATATTCTAAACGAGCAGCAAGGAGACCTGCCCATGACACAGCCGGCAGATGGTCATGGACAAGAGAATCAAGCTCCCTGAGCAAGAGGATGAATCTCCTCTAAATCAGCTGATGAGGCGGTACTTATTACACGCATGAGTGATGCTTCATTCTAGATCGTTGTCTACAAAAACAGCGTACGCTTGACTAAGATCTTACTCCTGAAACACCGCGCAATGTAAAGTGAAGCCAGTTCCTTGCGAAACGTTTACGTTCAGCAGAGTAGACTACCGTATCCACTCAATCCAGAGGAAGGTTCTCCTTTCTGCTGTGATAGCAACATCAACACTTTCTCTACGCTTGTCATCATACCTGCAGGTCGGTGAGAAAATACAGGTAGGAATCACTGACTGACATTCCGGCGTTTATGGCGTTTATGATCGTTCGGCTACAGAGGATGGGGTCTTCAGGGTTCCCGAGTACCGGGATCCAGACATCGAGACTCTGTAGCATAGTCAAGATTAACATGCTGCTGTTGTCGCTATCTCGCTCGAGCAGGTCCGCTTCAGACGTTGAGAAATCACTTCGAGAGTGTTCCTTTCATGTGACTGCCCTCGACGGAAACATGGATCAAAGAGTTATGGTTGCAGTGATTCGGACTCGAATGCCACTTCACTTGGACCCAGGAGTTTGTTGCGACTAAATAAAAGCAGGATTACTCGTATAATTTTCTCAAGTTGAATACAGTAAAGTCGACCGGCAAAGTACTGAATTACCAAGCTTACGTTTCTTTCAGACTCATTGGGCGGGTCGCCGAAAGTCAGCCGGCTGCGCACCTTCGAGAAAGGACTTTCAGAAGTCTTAAACTGATATCTGTGAAACACATTCATTCCCTCAACCTGTACCTTGTGGAGGTCACTTGCCGGTCACACAAAACCGGCAAACGCAATTGGACATTCAATAGCAAGATCAGATAATTATTTCACTCAGTACGTTTTCTTCCAGTGAGACGAAGGACGACGTGATCACATTTTCAATCATCTTCATAACGAGCTTCGACGACGACTCCGGTAAGAAGGGAGTTCCATCTGCTTCCAATGATTATCGGAAATGTTGAATTAGCCCCCATGATATAAATCATGCATCTGAAACACTTTCGGTGCTTTGGATTGCACCGACGGCTCCTGACTGCGAGGTCTAATCTCAGAACGGCTCTATGAAGTTCGCATTGAGAGACAAAGTCGCTTTCTCCTAGAGTCTCAGCCACCCGCCAGATGACGTTACTAATTGTAGAGTCACTTACAATCTTCACTTTAGAATCGTTCGGATGTCAAATTGCGTACCCGCGCATCTCCATCCTCGGAAGACTGAGATGAACAATCCACCCAGCTGTCCAGAATCTACTCATTCGCGGTGGACCGAAATGCGAAGCACAGTATGAATCCATAGACCCCTAGACGAGCTAAACAGTAGCCCCTCTGGGAATGAGCTCGCACGGCCGCAATCTCCACTTGCGACAGTCTACGAGGTAGCAAGGAAGACAGAGATCCGACGAGAGAAAAATGTCGTACCTCAGAGAGACGGATGCCGAGACGATCGAAATCACAGGCCTTCCAAGTCTCTCGGGTACGGTAATTTACAACTCGTTCCACCTGTGGCAAGATGGAGATGACAGCGGAGATAACGGAAGCAGCACAGGCCCTTGCGCTCGCGCGAGGAGGAAGAGCACCGGGAATCGCCCGGACTGACACAGAAAGACAAGTTGCAGCGGAGTCCGTCTACGTTTTCCAACAGGCCGGAACACCCAACCTTATTCTACTCCGAAACCACGGTAACTGGGGAACAGGGGGCCTGGACGGTGATGATGGTGATGATGATGATGCAGCAGCAGCAGCAGCGGCGGCGGCAGTGTTCAAAGCTCCTCTTCTCATGTCCAAAACTCTGCGCTCTCAACCCCTCGCACGCACGCACGCTGCTGCTGCCCCGTCCGACACAGGACCGAGAAAAAAGCACCGATGCTCGTCACGTGATGGAGCTTCGAAACTCGACATCCGTCGTCAGAAATCCAAAATCCTCCTCCGCACTGGCATCATCTTTGCAACCGCACCACCACTTCTCGTCCTCCGCTTGCCCGCCCACCCACTCCTCCAACATCCCCAACCTCTACACTCCCTCCTCCCCTTCCTTGCTGCCTCTCTCCCTCTCTCTCTCTCTCTCTCTCTCTCTCTCTCTCCTACTCACTCCTCCTCTCCTCCCCCACCAAACGAGCGCATTACTGCCATCTGTCTGCCTCGCTCTCTACCTCTCGCCCTCGGGAGGCAATCGCCCTCCCCTCCGTCTCGTCAATCGATCCCTCGTCGTCCAAATTGGGCTGCCTCTCTCTCTCTCTCTCTCCGCTCGCTCGCTCTGTGCCTCGCGCGTTCAGCCAGACGACGGCCTCGGCGTGTGCGACTTGTTCTCTCGCGCTCGCTCTACTGCAGCAGCATCAGATCACAGCTAAAGCTCGCACGCTCCAAGGCCCGCGGGGGACCCCGAGGCTCTCGCTCGCTCTTCCATCGCGCAGCGCTCCCTTCTCCTCGCTCCCGTCCGCCTCGAGCTGCGATTTCGGTGCCACTCTGCGCGCCTCGCTAATAGCCAGCAGTGCCGTCCCCAATGCCTGACGTCAGCCTTCGCGACCTCTTCCGCTCCGGAAATCCTCGACACTTCTCGCCTTCGTCTCTTTCCCCGGCCGTGATTCCCCGCCGATGTCCGTCCGATTCCCCCATCGTACGGCTCTGCTCCTGGCCCCGCGCTCCCGCTCCATGTGACGGACCGCGCTCCCTCGCTCTTGTCCCACGGACAGACAATTCCCTCTCGCCATTCTCCTCCCTTTCTCCTCCCATAATGTTCGAATTCACCCCGTCTCCTCCTCCGATCCGATCTTCTCCTCTAAACCCTTCCCTGCCCCCGCGAAGGATCGGAGCGTTTCCTTCCTTACTGCATTCCTTCCTTTCGGAGGCCGCGCCGGACACAGGTCAAACCGTAGCAGGCCGGAGTCCGACCCGTCGGGCCGGGTCGCGCGAGGCAATGCGAAGCCCCGCGGGAGCCTGGCGCTCTTCGCTGCGCTCGCTTCCGCGGGCGCTCCTTTTCGGGCTCTAATCATTGTTTTGGTTAATGGCCCGTACGGAAAGAGCTAAAATCAGTTCGCAGTCGAAGCAGCTGGTCCTTGGCAGAGAAAATGCTCCGGGTCCGCCCGCCCGGAGCTCAGGAGGGGCGAGGCGTGAGATGTCGGTCCAAATCCAGATTCCCCGGACAAACGACTTCACTGCAGTACCGACAGCCACACAAAAACCAACAGAAGAATCTGCCAAATATGGCGACAAACCGGTGAGTTTGTTTCCGACTCGAAGGTCAATAACCTGACCCGGTTTTCCACACTCTTCTCGCTAAAGGTTAGTTCCACTCCTGTTTATGGCGAACATGTGTGTTAAATCCTAGGTTACGCTAGACAAGCACATTATGAACTCCAGATATCAGATGCATACATGAACATGTCATATCATCACACAGAGGATTTCATACATCATGGACTTCTTACATGCTCACAAATTCGTTCTCAGGAACGAAAGAAGTCCGAGATAATCATTTCTTCCCTAGAATGCTAAAACACCCATTGAAATTACACTCCTGAACTTCTTCTTTTTACTGGCATTCAATTGTCATTTGTAATTTTAGAAAAACTAAAATAATTTAATGCAATCAGTTATATAATATTTTATTCCTATCTTCCTCGATCATATTCCTTTAATTATTTTTACCCTTTAAAAATTTTGAAATTCCTCACATGTTGTACATCTGCGAATTCTTCTTCTTCTTCGATTATTTTTATTTTTATTTTAGTTTCAAAGATCTCGAAGAGAGAATATAAAATTTTTAAACCATATCGCTTTTATGTATATCAAGTGCAACATGGAAAGCTCACGTCGTTCAAACTTTTAATTTCTTTAAGTCCAATCTTAAACTGTAGGGTCTTGCCATTGTTCAAAGCAATTTTCTCACACCTCATTCAGATGACGCATCAACCTACACATAGCACATGATGATGATGTAGGGTGAAGGATTGCATAAAGCCCTTGCTTTCATCCATTCTTCATGGCATACCTTCATGTCTTTAATATTATAAATCCTTGGTGTATTAATGTCACTCCTCGGTAGCTTCTTCGCACGTGCATGGTATAAACAGGAGTAAAACTAACCTAAAGTCTCTTCTCCGGCCTAGGAATCTACCGGCGTTCCTGAGTGTAGTTTACTCCTGACCGGTACCTGGTTCTCGCGAAACTTGGAACCGTGTCTGGGAACTCCAAACTCAGGTGAGGCCTTCGTCGGTGCTCGACGGTGGATCGTATTTGATTTTCACCATTTCTTGCTGACTCCCCGGCCGGTTCCATCTGTGTTCTGTTACCGAACGAAGAAATTCGACTGCAGACGATGAAGCCATTCCGCCGGAGTAGAAACGAATAAAACCGGAGAAGCTGTGAAGCAAGTGACGGATCAGAAAGCGACGGAAAGGGTTTAGGGCCCTGTCTCATTTGAACTGTGTTGCGAATGTTAACTGGAAACTGTAAGGTGACCCTGTACCGTAGGTTAATTCTGTCCACACAACCTGAAAAGCCAGTAGTCACTTTGAGAACACGTGCACAGCCGTATGTAGAGGATGGATGGGAAATGTTGCCGAAACGGAGACTCGGACGATTGACAGCATTATGTCTCGGCTGAAATGACCTGAACGTCACTGTCTGCAAGCGATTACATTCACTAAATTTAATATTATTTTAGAATTTCCGCCGGCTTGCTCTTATCCGGCAATATCTAGCAAGACCAAGTCTTTCAAATTGAGATCTAGCGGGTCTCCTTCCCCATTAACTCATCCGGTATTCAGGTCAACAGTTCTCCCAAAAGTTTGCAGCCTATGAGCTGCACAAGACTTCTTTTGACCTTCCTTTCCTCAATTTATACTGCGTTCTGTTACCACTTCTAATTACGGAAATGAAAAGCGATTATTGTGCTCCTATACCGCCACGTATGTGCTATAAGCGATCTGGAAAACTTTAGTCAATAGTTTCTGCCTCTATCCGCAATTGGAAATTTCTTGGCCTACTGAAGGAATTTCGAAGTTATATTTGGAGCAAGACATATAATTCACATGTTTCGTTCTTTGAATTATTTCCACCGCAACTTTACTGGAAGCCACGCTCCAAAGTTCCAGGGTGCTCGGAAATTGGATAATCCAGCATATAAATATTCACCTTGGCATACTTGGTCTTCCTTCCTCTCTTCGTGCACTTTTGCTTTCGCAAAAAGAAGAAATCACTGTTTGAGCATTCACTCACTGTAAGACAAGTACTTACTAGAAAAGCCCTCGAAGCTAAACTCCGTATTCCAACATTACCGGGATTAATGTACCCTTTTCCCTTAAGAACATCATGACTTAATATGACAAACTTGATATAATTCTTAGACTAGCAGTCAAACTGTGGGTTTCATATTTTTTATCACAAAAAAGGGACAAGTTGTGCTATATCCAGAATGTACAAAATTTCGTAAATATCAAAAAGGCAGATGTAAAGGTTGCAAAGCAGACCGTACACAGCTTTGTTAACGTCGGCTCCAAGACGGTAGATGTTTAGTATACTAAACACATGGGCAATATGATAAATATGCACGAAAATACGTTAACATGATTCTCATACATGAATTTCATGGGGATGACCGCAGAGATAGTAATTATCAATCCTCCAGCTTCACTTCGATAGAAAAAAGTATATGTTTTCAAGTTGTTAATCATTTCTCCATATTTATCCTGGCATTTGCTAACTGGTTTAGCTTTAGACATACACATGAACAGGGTTTATCAATCGTGAGATGCGTTGAATAATTGAAGTTGACACTACAAAGAGATGAAAACCGTTACCTGGTATCCGTCGACAAGCCTGTCGACGGATACCAGGTAACGGTTGCCGACCCTCCGAGCCAGTTCGTTCTCAGATTTACATTGGACGAATTATGTTTTTTTATTGTGGTACGTTAATCATTTTAGGCTAATTCGATGAGAGAGAAACAAAGAATCAACTTATATGAATAATGATATTATATGCTGGTAAAATTTATTTATTATAAAATGTGGTACGTTGATATTATATACTGGTATATAATATCAGTGTATTGCTTATAAAAGTCAATTCTCCCATTTATAACTTCCACAGCCGAGAAATTGCATGAACGGCCTATAAGTTTCCAACATCGTATATCGTGATCCATCAAACTAACCTCGGTTTATCCAGGGTATTTGTGATATGTGTATCTTGATGAATTCAATGCTCCACTTCTAACTAGATCTCACTACATATGTATAGTTTCCATTGCAATATTAGATTTAGATTGTTTAATCAATACTATATTTAAAATCTTATGTGATATTTTTTTCTCTAAATAATGCACAAATTTTCATATCTAGAATATGGAGTATCCACATCTCAATAAATTTCAAACAAATTTTTTTCTAAAATATTGAAATAAATGTGATAATGTTTTTTTAATACTCTAATCTATTGGATGCTCTATATTAACTTGGTAACATGGAAGATAATCTACAAAGATAAACAACGTGAGCGATTTTGTATATTTCCAGCTACATTCAAGCTCAACAGAAGCTTACCATGTGAGCTCATATTTCTTTAAACAGTTATGATTGTTTCAGATTTGCAACATTTTGAAGAACTTTGACTGAAAAAAGTCAGAGTGAATATTGTCATACTTACATATTATTAACTCACTTATCATGTCCACAAGCAGTATGCTTCTTCTCTCTATATTGGTGGCGATAAGCAAGACATAATATATCTCTATTTTATAATCATATCAAGTGAACAAAATATGTAGAATACTCCAAATCTATCTGTATTCATTGATATAATTTCTGATTTATGACCTTAGAATTGAGCCCAAATATCTGATCAATTATTGATGTCTTGAAATATGAAAAAATTTCAAAAACATATTATGGTAACAAACTTCTTATAACGCATGAGATGAATTTAAGTTAAAGAAGTTACAATTAGAAAAAAGTTTCCAAAAAATCTATGTTCATCTAGAGCATTTTGGTGATGTTTATTTTTGTGACTAAATACTGTAATAATTTTAAGCTTGAAGTTATTTCAATCAATATATTTCATTCATGGAATCATTTTGGATATGACATAGATATGACATGTATAAAGATGTCGTGAGTGAACATTTAATCATCAAAGAAGCTCCCAAAATATGCAATAGCAATTAGAAAAAATATGAATTCTCTTGTAAAAGAGAGAGGCCAATTTCAAATCAAAGAAAGATTGAACTGGCAAACAACTATAGGCAATTTCTACTGTAGTAAAGTTTACAAGCTCGAGTTGCAAATATTCAAAATGAACTGATTATAAAGGATATCGTGTCGTTAAGACTTTACCTCTCTATTATCAATTTCATGAAAAAATTATGAAGTTGAACCAATTCATCAATACTGACTCTTCTTTGCAAATATTAAATTTGTTAATCCAAGGATTTAACTTAAAGTTTATATAAATTGGAAAAAAATCATTATGCATCTTGCAATATTACATATAAATGAATATTGAAATATGAATATCATTTGGAGACTTGAGTTTACAGAATTTAGTCCCAAAAACATTTCCAAGTGATTGAGTTTTTAAGTCATGTGAAGAATAATATCATAATTGAAGTAGGTCTTCTTGCACAACACTTGAACAGAAGGATTGCAAGTATGTAACACATTTTCAGACCAAAGATTCATTTATTATCACTTAGTTTCACTTGTAGAACACCTCAACAGATTATGTGATATTTCTATAATTTCATCATAATATAGTGAGAACAAAGATCTCATTACAATTATCGGAATTGAATATTCTAGAACAAACTCAAGTAGAACTTTGGATAAATAAAAGTAAAGATCAAATGGATTTTTCTCATTGCCTTTTTCTGTCGATGGTTCAAAGGGTCAAAGTATATTACATTAAGTATGGAAAGATCATGTTAAGGATGAAACATAGGGTAACTAGGAACTAGTACCATGAGAGTCTAATCATATATATTTACGATGATCATTTAGGTGATCTTTATTTCATTTGTAATAACGATAACTATCATTTATATTACTTTTGTATAACATTAGTTTATCTAATATAGAACTCAAACCAAACTAATTGTACTTATAGCTATGCATTGCTAAAAGCGGGCAGAAAGAGAAATTGCTTCACTCAATACTCGTATTCCACATGTTAGTTATTTCGTAGAGTACATATGATCAATAAATTGCTTCTGAAGCAAATCGCTTGCCCAGCAGCTTCCATGACTTTCTGAACAAGGAATGTATGCCAACACTTAAAAGGTTAAATGCACTCATCTGCTATAGCGATAGAGGATGTTGCTAGGACTAATCAGCCAGAAATCAAGTAATTTGTAGGGAGTGATATAACAAAAGAATGGAAGAGAGCCAAGTTCACATACCACGATTGGGGACAACATTACACAATTGTTGGTAGCTTTTGTAAAGGGGAATACGTTCTTCAGAGATAGACGGAACACGAATTTACACGGCTGATGGACGGAAGTAAGACAAACCTCTTCACGGCACTGCGAAACCCTAAGCCCTGGGACATATGAACCCTAGCAACGACTGTATCGTTCTTTTACGACTTCGAAGCTTTCCGCTGTGACCTGCGTGGCCAATTTTTGCTTCAATTGCAGCTCGGGCGCCCGAAGTCAGGTACGAATAACATTTTATGTGAAGATCGTGACACAAAATCTAGTGAAATTTTTCGAACTCTGGAACCTGTAAATTTGATCGATTTGAAATACATCAGGCGGATCCGAATGTGAAAGCAAAGTGCCCACGATGGCGGAAAAAGTATTATAGGCATGAGTAGTGTCCAGAATTACGTGACGAATTCAGTTGCATTGTGGCATGTACAATTTCATAGCTCAATTCAGTTAAATGTTTGAGGGCGCCAACTCAATCACCCGCAAATTCCTTGTCTGATACCTTAGGCACAATGGTGAGGATTAGTGTTCTCAATGACGCCTTGAAGAATATGTTCAATGCTGAAAAGCGTGGAAAGCGCCAAGTGCTTATCAAGCCCTCTTCCAAAGTCATCATCAAGTTTTTGTCTGTCATGCAAAAACATGGTAAATTTTCGAGCCCTTCCATCCTTTTCTTTACAGTGCCAATCAACCTGGCATCGCGTTGCAGCAACCGAAGGCTTCTGCGAAATGAATTTTCCTGATTAATATTTTTGTGGAATTCAATTGATTTGTGGTCTTGCTCTTACTGCAGAGCAGTCATAGCTTAACTCGAGGAAATGCGATTTTTTTTGACCCATTATGTTAGGTTACATTGGAGAGTTCGAGCTAGTTGACGACCATAGAGCCGGAAAGATTGTCGTGGAGCTCAATGGAAGGTTAAACAAATGTGGAGTCATCAGCCCTCGCTACAATATTGGAGTGTCGGAGCTCGAAGATTGGACTGCCAGGCTCCTCCCCTCTCGTCAGGTTAGTGACATATAACGTTCTCTACGTTTTCCGACCTCGAAGATTTTATGATCTATGAATAGGATACTGAGATCTATGAATCGAATGGCTTCGGAGACGAGAATTACAGGTTATCCGCGCTTCTGACGGCTTAGAAGCAAAGTTTGCATCCGTTGAATCCTTCGTATGAGTGTCTGCCCAGTAATTTGAACGTCAAGCAATTGATTTACAGCCTGATTACGTGCTTCTGTGTATATGACACTGAAAACTGATTTTATGTATCCTCGATCAAACTAAACGTCATTTTCTGAAGATCAATATTGCTTCCGAGAGTCAAATGTCATCGTCTTCAAAATATTTCTTGTGTCGAATGATCATGCTGGTCACAGTCTTCAGGCATATGGATGTAATCCCAAAGAGCACGACATTCTCTCTGCACCTTCTCTGTTACAACATACTTCTATTTGAGTAGCTGGGGTCCTGAGGACATCAATGAATGCAGACCATGAACATCCGTGCATCGTTTTAATGTAGCATGAGTATTTGTCTCAAAGTGTATTTTCGGCACCTGCAGTTGTCTGGCCTTGTACTCTGCTACCAAAATTGCACCTTTGGCCCTCACGTAGTCTTCAAACTTCGTACATTTAGGGATCAGAGGAAGACTGGCCTTGTACTCTGCTACCAAAAATTGCACCTTTGGCCCTCACGTAGTCTTCAAACTTCGTACATTTAGGGATCAGAGGAAGACTATCTGTGTCTTACTTGACCGATTTTATCGCGGTTCTGATCTTCTTCTGATCCTTAAGTCCGTAAACTATAACATGGAAGATTGTAGTTGTCAACAGTAAGTAGATAAGAATAATGGTCTATTTGTCAATGATATAATTTTATGCCTTACTTTACCTTAATGCCTTAACAACATTTTCTATTCAGTCATGTACGTCCTCTATGGTATGGGATTCTAGAAGAGCGTAGTCCGGTCATTCAATGATTTTTATAACTTCGGTAGTTTTACCTTCCATGGGCATTTATTTCTTCTGCTATCACCATCTCAACTCCAAAACTCCATAAGAGAAAACGGGGGAGGATCTTGTGGGACATTTTCATCTTTAGATTTTGACTTTCTAGACACCGGTTTCATTTTTTTGTGTGTCGTGGAAAGGACAGTTGATGTTCGAATTTTTCGAAGACTTTGTTACTAAAGCACTGATCATCTTTTCGTCTACTGATTTGGGCTTTTCACTCGTTTGTTGGTGCAGTTTGGGTTCATCGTGTTGACAACGTCTGCTGGCATTATTGACCACGACGAAGCACGAAGGAAGAATGTTGGAGGGAAGGTCTTGGGGTTCTTTTACTGAGCAGTAAGGGATGTGGACCGAAGAGTATTTTTTGAACGTGTAGAATGTCTTTTGTAGATTAGACATTTGTAAACCATCTACTTGCCCCTTACCTGGTGAGCAACACAGCTTGGGTGCAGACTCAGATAAGTTGACGTATGAGTGAGTGGGCCACTCATACAACATTAGTCTTGTCACGAGTGTAGTGAAGGCCAGGTTCTGCTTAACGATTTTGTCGCTATGAATATTTGGAGGAATGAATGATGGGTACTATTCTCCCACTCAGTCTCGCCTGAGCATCTTGACAAGTGATATATTGCACTTGGTTTGAGTCTCATTCCCGCAGTGTGTATGTAATTGGTATTTTCATGATGAGTGTTCAGTACTAAAACCTCCCACGGCTATATTTTTGTCCATGAGATTACATCGACCTCAGCGACCAGCGCATATATCGTGAGATGGTCTCGTATGAAGCCGGAATCTTCCAGTGATTGAAGATACAAATTTTGCCGGTGATTCTGAGTAGTCTATGCAACCTATGCTTAATGATACATTGTCCATGCACAATTGTATGAACGTGGTTTCACCTACAGACGTGTTGTGAATGTAATGGGTTTGTCGATCATGAGCGTTTGCTTGGTTTCGCATCCAAACCCATGTTCTTTGTTTCGGGAAGGTATTCCTCATAAACAGAGCCGCGTTTTTCTCAACTGTCGAAGATAGAAAATTGTGTAGCGTGGAGATGTGAGGAAGCGGATGGGAGCCGGGACGCATAGACATTAGGACATGGCGAGCAGGCCGAGCTTCCAAGGGGAAAGGAGATGCCAAAGACCGGCATCCTTAGGGAGGATCATGAGTTGTACAATCCAACGTTCCGAGTCAGCTGCTGAATGGAATTTCCGCAGCCTCCCCCATCTCCCCCCTGTCTCGAGGAGCATATGTTGGACATAAGCGGTGAGAATCTCTGGAAATCTGAATATGGTTTATCTTTCCGCTCGCGGGATCTTACCTGCCTTGATACTGGCGCATTCTTCTGGCGCATGTACTCCCTTTCCACGATGCACCTGCCCCCGACACCTAGCGGGGGTCTGGTCCACCAGTGGAATAGGCGTATTTTGTTGTGTCTCTCATGGCAAACCTCCCTTCGAATTCCCCGTCCTCTCGCCGGAAACTTTTCAGGAAGTCCAAACAGGATTGCATATACTCCACGATGACCCTGGATTGTGTACTAATAGTACTGGGACCTCTATATCTCCTCTGCAAGTCGGACCTCCAACCTGTTTTCTCTCAGATTACCGCAACAAGATTACTGTGTTTTGTTCCTATGGTCCCATGTTTTCGGAAAAAGTCACTGGCCAAAGCATTAAGTTTCCAGCGCTGCTGTTCTGGATGTTATTTTTTGTGTTGGACAGCGTCGCTCAAAAAGATCTCACCCGTGGAAGCCCTATATTTAGTGCTCCCAGTGATAGGGCTACGTAAGTCTGGTTCTTCACTCTTCGTACCTAGGCTTACGGTCGCTGGGTCTACGCATTCTCCGCCGCCTCGACTCTCAATCTCCGAGTACAATGGAATTCTGCTCGATGCACATGGATATAAAATTGAAGGAAGTAAATGTATCTGCTTTATATTCTTCTCACTGTGTAGATTAAAACTTGAAAAGTCGATCTAGTGAGAGGGGGAAGTGGAAGTGGAAGTGGGGAACAACGGATGCTTTGATGTCTTCGAGGGATCGTATCTAGGCGACCGAGTCGGTTTCGCGGACACGAAATTCTCTCGAACCTTTTGAGCACACGTGCACGTAGAGCACAGCCATCGTACTGGGTGGAATGTACTAGCCCTCTCAAGGTTCTCAAGGCACTGACACCCCTTAATTTTGACCCAAGCGCAGTCGACGGAGCGTCTGGGACGGGAGAGAGCTCCACAGCCCGTGTAATCATTCATTCGCACGTGTTTTCCGTGCTCTCCATGTTTTCCATGTTGTCCTACGCCTCGCAGCGTGTATGTCACGGGCTCACTCTACGGTTTCCTTTGAACCTTGTTTCTGCCGCATACCGCGTGGTATGTATCTGCGGCCATGTGTCATGTCCGACCTGCCAATCAAGCTCCCCCTCCGACGGACGCTCAAATTCTCCCCCAAACGCTCTCAAGTTTTCATCGTCTTAGGCAAACTCGATGGACCGACCAACCTAAACCGAGCACCGGGAAGAGGGATCTTTCCGCTGCGATTAGCGTGGAGAAGGCCGGCGGGCTCGAAGTGTAGGAGGGAAGCCATGTACGTCCTCGCAGCCAAAGGTCAAAATCCATCTATCAATTTTTCCCCATTGCCACTCCGACCTCCCCCATCTCATCAATACGATTGATGTGTGAACGAACTTACGCAAGTCCAGGAGTTGGTACCCGAACTGGCCGACGGAGAGGCCGGCGACAGTGGCATGAGCAGCATGTCCGGAGTCGGGCCTTCCTGCGGGTAGAAGGACAATGGCGCATCTGTCGTGTTTCTGTCATCTCTGGACATTTTAAGGTGGGAGACGCGAGGTTCGAGTTGGACAATTAGGATATGAAATGTATTCCGAATCACCTCAGAATCCGTCTCCGGAACAATAACGTGTACGGTAAACCCAACGACGCGCTGTGGCCCGAGTAGATGTTATGCGGAGAGAACAGTGGAGGCGAGTGTGTGGACGAAGAGAAGCCTGGACGAGTCGGAAACTCGAAAGAGTCAGTTAATCATGCAAGAAAACTGTTCTCAACGACAAGCAAGTGGTGAAGTACCGTGGACCGTGCACAGCAATCTGGGCGTATAATTTTAAGGGCGAACGCCTTTTGGACTGCAGGCGGTGAACAGGGGCCAAGTTGCACTGATGTCATAGACTTACACGATTCACGAGTACCAAAGGTGACGGTCTATACGCAGGCAGCTAGCTACGCGAGGGATCTGAGCTGTAGATGCAAGCATATCGGCTCTCCGCCTCGTTCTCGCCATGATCAGACGGTAACACCGTCGGCCCTGTTTCCCTGGTCCGTCACTCCATCAATGAGACAAGCGACAACGCAGCTCCGGTGCAGAGAAGACGCCTGCCTCGTCTTCGTACTAAATTTCCTGGCGAATCCACGAAATCCACGAATGACTAGGGCCATCGACCGATGCTCGGGTACAACCCGGCCCCTCGGCCATGCAGAGCGAAGTGGTCAAACGCAGAAGTGCCCCGCACTGATGCTGCTGCTGGTGAACCCGAGGCCTGCCTCGAGACGCTTGTGAGTACGCAGCCTGCCATCTCTACAGTTGGTGCCAAGTACTCAAAGTACATCGATGTACCATCTCCGATACGGAGCGCCGAGACCTGTCCCGTCCCTTCTTCCAGAATAACTTCCTTCCTGGCCTGCCCGCCCCATGCCTGCCTCCATGCCTGCCTGACTGCCAGTGTCCAGCCTAAGAGCATCTCCGCATCTGGCTTCGGTTGGGTGCAGGTTTTGAAAGTCGGCTGTAGATTTCACACGCTCCAAATCATCATACGTTTCTTCTCGCTGATAAGTGTGTGTCACATTCTATGTTTCCTGGCAAATGAGATGTCACTCGAAGATAAAAGTATGAGAGTTTATTGCTTCATTCTTTTCTGTGGCGAGTAGAGGCATCAGTGTGGAAAGGTCAGACCGTCACATCACTAGGATTTATAATGCTAGTGCTTGTCCCACTTCGCTAGTACTATCGATGAACAGAAGCGACATCAGCCACTTTAGCAGAGGGATAGGGGAGAGCACTTTAGAAGGCGTGGGTACTTTTCAGCCACTTGATCACAACATGAGAGTGAGTAGAGTTCATTACCATTTTAAAGTTCCGTTTCATTTATGATTGGCTTCAAGCTTTTTTAAAATGTGTTTAGAGAAATTCGGTGAATTTTTCATATTCAAGTTTATTCTCGAGTCTAACCCTATCTGTTGGCTGATCTTTTACGCTATCCTTTCATTGACTTCATGATTTGGTTCTAAAAGTATACAGTTGGATTTTTGAAGATATCAATATAAAAATCAGATTGTTTGTAGATATTAGAGTTTTAAAATTATCATTGCTCTTGGTTGTGGTTTTTTATGTGGGATGAGATACATGATCAAGTACAATGTAAAACTATTGATACATTTGTATCAAACATAGCTTCCCTTTCAATCTTGGTATGCATATAGTCATGTATGATACATTATGTCTAGCTTCTAATTTGCAAGAGTTACAAATTCACATGTGAAATTTGGAAATTATTTTGATTTAACCATTTAGTATCTACCATGAGGAATTTGAGTACATGACATTTCGTGCACCAAACTAGTCAACATGATGATGTGACGTGACATATTTGATGTTCACAACATTGAAGAATCTTGTAGATACTTATGGTTATACCAATTGAATCATAGGCTTGTTAGCATGTTAGTCCGATGATCAGATTAACTTATCACTTAATGATTCATCCATGCAATTTCCCAGCTTGTCGAAAGTTCAACTCCAACATCTATGTGAAACATGGAGCGAAGGGGTCCGGCGGCTAGAGACGGCGAAGACACGAGAACTATGACACTTTGAGGTTTTTCATCTCGTGAGCAGATTCAGCTAGACGAAGGCGATTACTAGGCACATGAAGGAATGCAAAGGCAGGCGCAATAGCTTGCGCCTACGCTTTTTTGAAAAAGAAAAAAAGAAGGTGAATTTGAGCTTTTCTAATGGCTTTTCTTCGCGCACATACATAGTCTTTATCGATAGCTTCCTTTGCACTAAGGAATGTACACGGACAACGGCTCGGCAGGCGATAGATACTACAACGACACACCACAGCCTCAAACCAATGATGATCACCGAAAACAACACACCGACAACAAAATAGCGGACACAAGGCGCGCTGCACATCTTACACCATGCCATTTGGAACATTGATGTAACCTTCAGCAACAACGAAGACACTCACGACACCTCTAGAGATATCAAATCACATGACCAAGACGAAAGCAAGCGCAGCCCGGACAAACATCTCCTCGATACGATGACTCTGTTGAGTCAAATCACTCTAAACATCTCTACAGAGCAGGCTTACAAAAGACAAGTCAACAAAAGAGATACCGTAGCAGTAATTCTATCTCGACCGTGGCCTTAGCTTGGATCAAGTGCAAGAATGTGTTGACAGAGAATTCAAACACAACTGGAAACTCAGCACCACTACGGTCACTTGCATGGGTAGCAGAAATTTTCATGTCAAGTTCGTAGAGAAGACGAACAGTGACAAGACACTAACCACCATCCGCTTCAAATAATTGAGGCAGGAGTTGATTGTCATATCTTGATCTGAGTTTACTGACGACTACGAGTATAATCCTCAAAAGTATCCAGTTTGGATTTATTTTCTGGAGCTCACATCATTGCAGATACGATGTCTACATGAAATAATAGCTACTCTTGGTCTTGTTCTCATCCCATCCACCAGAATGGACCAAACCAATAGGCCCTTTGTTCAAGACATGCGTGGAATGGAACCATGGCTCTCCAATCCCAACCAATGTGGAGTTCAACATAGAGGATTCTACTGCTCATGTTCATATCAAAGTAACACATCTCCCTAACTCGTGATGTAGTTGTCAAGGCTATCAAGGAGTGCAAAATCAAGGTGACCCGTTCTTCACATCGACACAAGGAGGAGCTAAGTAACAAGACACCTTTCACCAAACTGCACACAACACAAAGAACACACAAGCCAGGAGGAAGCTCAAACAAAGACTATCCAAACATGCCACAACGAGAAAACTCACTCCTTGAAAACTTGCAAAACACCACATGAATAGGAAAGCACAAACATAACACCTTCTTGTTTGTACTTTCCTATTTGAAAAGCACAAACAAATGTTTCAGTCAAAGAAGTATAGGGAGACCAGAATGAAGATACATTATACAAAGCTCAAACATCGTCACAAAAATGACGATCTCCAACCAGGTGCAACAAACGCAAAACACTTCAATTACAAAGACTCACAGCAATCTTGACCACACTAATGTTCTCAAGGATACTTCATCTCCTACCATGTTACAGATTTGGATCGGACCATCAAACCAACAGTACGTGTGCAATAGCACAAAGAACGCAGAGTTTCAGCTGCATCAACTCTGTACTTCGTCTTCTTTCTACTCCACCTTCACCAGGTTGAAGATAGTGTCAAGTATGAAAAATCCAACTGATGAACAGGGAACAAAATTCATCTCCATAGGAAAAAGGAAGAAACTGGTATTCAATTCAGAGTTGATTGTCAATGCACAACAAATCACAGCGGCTACTACACACAACGATGAATCCGCACACCACACACGCTCTGCAGCTAAAGACACATTCGAGAAGAGAAACATCTACATCAGTAACTCTTCATCTCACCAAACTGCACACAACACATCTCTATTTGATAGTTAACTTTCACACTGAATGTAGTTTACTGGAATGTGGGAGGTCTAAATGTAAACACCAAAAAGTATAAGGTTAGAAATTTCTACTTAAAGAGTCAAAATAGGCCGTATATCATGGCAATACAAGAGCACAAACTAGATAACTTTCCCATGACGGCAATATGATACTTCCTCCATAGAACCTTTATGTGTTTGTGTTTTCCAAGACAACAGGAAGCTAGAGGAAGAGTTACAGGCGGAACAACGTTGTTTATTCACAAAAGTTTCATTGTCACACATTCGAGCAAGATTGATTATGGCTTTAATGTATGGGCGCAACTCTTCAAAGAAGATTATGAATTTCTTGTGGCCTCTATTTCTGATACTCACACTCTAAGCGAGAGAGTTGACCTTTGGAATCGCCTTCAAAACTCGTTTACTCACACCAATATTCTTTATGCAGAGACGGGAACATGATGGTTCTAGTTGAGGATTCCTAAGGAGACTGACAAATAGTCACTAGAGCGAAAGGGACCGCGATCTCACAATTTGGCATAAAACATAACCTGATGGATCTTTGACTGATGGCAGCTGAGGCGAGGAGACTCACTCACATCACATGGAGTTCCTATGAATGAACAGCTAGATTTTCTAGAATAGATCGGTTCTATGTGTAACATGGAAGAAGATGACTAACTGGTGCACAACATGTACTACATCATGCGGGCAACACGCTCTTCTATCATCTACCAATATGTAAGGTCCTAGAAATAGCACTTTCCAACCCACTGAAGGTAGAATTGCACTATGAGGTCCCACAATCTTCAAATGGAGTACTACACTTCTCAGCAATGATGCGATCCAGACATGAACAAAAAATTTAGGAAAAATTACGTCATAGACATGAAGATTCTAGAAAGTCATACTACCAAGGAATACAACAAGTTCAGAAATACTTACGAACCAAGCAAAAAAAGCACAAAAACCTAATTTCAGCCATCGACATCATCCAACAGGAAATCATCCACCTACAACAGACATCACCTGAAAAACTGACAATAACTCAACTCTCGTGTCTCGACTGGCTCGTAACAAAGAAGCAACGTGGACATACACGTGTGGTTCAAGGTGAAGCACCTAATACTTGGAGACGTGCATAGTAATTACTTGTTCAACATTTGTCGATAAATGTTGAACAAGTAATCTGAAGTTAGACAATGATGTAGAAACACAAGAGCAAGCTCAAAATCTTAGCACGATAAGACAGTTTATGTTGATCTTTACAGGCTAGAGGAAAAAAAAATGAAGACCAAATCCTACATCAACAACTAATAGCTAGGGTACAAGGAAATATATCCGACGCCAAAAGAACCATGCTAGATGCCACATCAATACTCCAAAAAGTTGAAGTACTTTTTTTGCTACTAATAAACAAAACGCTAAGAGTCAACGGAATGTCAACAGAAGCAATAAAACCTAGCCTCTCATGAAACACTTCTACGTCATAATGTTGGAGAAGTTCTAGACAGACGGTGTACTAGCCAAAATTGTAACTGAGGGTATGATTAGATTGATCCCATAATCTATCAACAAAACGGAGCTCAAAGATTAGAGAACTCTGACAATGCTCAATACATATTACAAGATAATTGCCAAAATATTGGCAAGTAGAGTTCAGATTTTGCTACTACTACTACTAATGATTTTTCAAAAAAGACCTGTTTCATCAAGGTTTCAAAGATTGGTTTCATCAAGGGTCGCAACATGCTGAACAATGTGATAATCCTCTGGATGGCATAGAATGCTGCCAAAACCTGTGACAATAGATGTATGTTTGTACAACTAGATTTTGAAAAAGCTTATGATAGAGTGGATCATTCTTATCTGTGGAATACAATGACAATGTGCGGATTGGGAGAGCATTTTGTCATACTTGTAAAAGTACTCATCCATGACGCTTCAGCGGCAGTTCACCTTAACGGCTCCAAGATCTTTAGAAATCCAGTAGCAACAGGACTACGTAAGGATGTCTACTAGCTCCCTTGTTGTTTGTCCTCGTAACTCAGCCGTTGATGATAAAACTCAAACATAAATTTCAACTCGGCAAACTTTGTGATTACAATATAGGGAAGAACATTTCTACGATTATTCATTGTTTGCCGACGACATTAGTGTTTTTCTAGATGACTTACAATTTTTGTTTGCTATATTACGCCAGGTCCTAGCAAAATATGAACCAAGCAATGTAGCACGTCTAAACTTGGCTAAATCTTACATTCTGCTCCTTGGTATGGATAGACCACCAAATTGAATATAATTTACAAGTTGCAGGTTGATGGAATCAGAAAATATCAATGGAAGCACCTACAAGACTCGGAGTATCAACATTTAGCATGGAGAAATTCTGCACGCAAAAGCTGGTTAAAACACTTGGAGGTTGGCATTCAAAACTTCTCTCATTTGAATCACGTATTACCTTGCTACGATTT